CTCAGGTATCTGTACCTGCTGTTCTCCAGCGACGACCTGATGCCCTTTGACAGTTGGGTTTTCAACACGGAGGCTCACCCGCTGCCTGTGCTCCACCTGGGGAACATCACCCTGCCTGGCAGCGAGCCGTCTCAGCAGTAAACAGGAAGTGTTGTTCTCCTCCACAGCAGCAGGGGGCGCCACCTGTCTGAACGACAAACAACCCACCAACACTGGACAAAGTTACATTCGGCTCCACAGACTCTCTACTGCTTCTGGACTGCAGACATCAACCAGAGGAATGATGGAGAGCCTCCCGAGGGGACGTAGAGACCCTCTCTCTCTTCTTCTATGTTTTACTCTTTGACTCTCTCTGTCTTCTCTGAAAGACGGCGTTTTTTGCTGCTCAGCCTCGCGACTGGCTTGAACTGACTCTGAAGGACCGAGCTCTAATTAAGGCTCGATTTGTTTGTTTTTTTGTTATTATTTTTAGTGACCAAACTCTACTCCCATACAGACTCAAGCTGAGGCATTATGGGTTTTCTGTGAAGGATTACAGTCAGTTTGACACTGTGCTGATGGAAGTGTGTGTTTGTTTTCCAGACTGACTGACTTGAGGACTTTACAGGGTCTGTTGATGTGTTTTTTTGTTTGGCCTCATGGGGACACAGGGTTGAATGAAAGCCCTTCGCTTCTCCCTGAACCCTCCTCTTACTCCACTTCCTGTTTAATCTTCATCTGATGGACTTTGACCTGGAACTATTAGCAGCTCGTCACATCATCAGTGCGAGGGCGGGTTGTGTCTCCTCCTCTTCCTCCTTTTACTCCTCTAATCCTCCTTTTTTCAGAACAGTGGACCATTGTACGTGAACAGTAACTCCACCTGGACAGCAGCAGCTTCTCCATCTTCTCTCTACACACCTCGACATCTTTCCAGTTCCTCTCCCAGATATAAACGTCACCGAGTGCTGCTACATTTGTTCATTTTCCGCCACCTTTTTCCTGTCCATTTATCGCCTCAATTTGTTCTCTTATTTCTCGCCTTCTCAGAACACATTTTTCAAGGATCCAGTAATGCTTCTGTATGAGTGTCTGTTTGTGTGTGTGTGTGGGTGTGTGTGGGTAAGATAACCTCTGCTGTAAATCATTGATTTGTGCACTTTGTATGGGAAGACTATGAAGAAGAGGGAAATAGAAGTGTAGCACTGAAAGAGCTGAATATAGGCTCCCTGCTGAGCTCCCAGCATGCAACAGTCGCTCCGTATATCACGTAAATTGTATGAACTATACCGTTCACAACCACTTATTTTTTCATTCCTGCTTTAATTGTCTCTTCGCTTCTCATTCCTTCTCTTCTCTTGTCCATTGTAACCTTCATTCTCCTTAACTAAAACAAAACCTATTACACTCTTGAGGATTTGTTTCTGAGGTTTTCCAGAAAAGAGGTAAGGCTAATTTCAAAACATTCATTTAATAATGTCCAAGTTTTTGGATAATCTCTAAATCACAGTTTGAGCTTTTGAGAAATATATATCACCTGTTAAATGTACATTATAAAGCTGCAAGCATGTCCCCTTTGGGTTTATTGTTCAGTAAACAATCATGACGAATAACTACTGTACAGATTCAAGTCACCTTTTTTCGTCCCCATCATCATATCTTAAAAAAAAAGAAAAAAGAAATCTGGCTCTCTTATCTCTCCCGACACACAACTCTCTCTGTTTCATCTGAAGCTGTGCGAGGGATTTACTGCTTTGCTCAGATAATAGATAATACAGTCTGTTACTAAATATTACATTAGAGAACAACCAAAACAACTCTGCTGATTTTCAATGTGTGCATAAAGCAGTTATGCGCCTCTTTTAAAAACACACGGGTGAATTTCATGCTAAGAAACAACTAGGGCTGTACCCGAATATCCGAATATTCGTTCGTTGGAGTACTATTCGGGTTTCAATTTCGTTATTCGGATATTCGTTTTTTTTTTATATTTATTGAAAACTCCAATATCAACGTAAGAGCTTGTGCCTCTTCGGGGGGTGCTAACACTTAACTGTAAACTTTATAGTTTACTTTCTCCGTCTTTATATGTAGATATGACTTTTCTCCGTTAATTTCCGTCACGTTGTTTCCATAGCAACAACAACTTC